CTTGCTTCCTTCAATAATTTTCTTCATGGCAAGGAGCTAAAGCAAGCTTCTGGGTTGATTTAAAGTCTATTTTCAAAACAGATGAAGATGCCAGCTACTTGGGAGGCTGAGACAGAAGGATGAAAAGTTCAAGACCAGCCTGGGCAACTTAGAGAGCAAAACGCTGCCTCAAAATAAGTGAAATTTAACTCAGTAGTAGAGCACTTATCTAGTGTGTGCTAGGCCCTGGGTTCAATCTCCTGCCTCACAAAAAGAAAAAATAAAAGACAGATGACGATGATGGTAAAGATAGCAACCACTGCCTCCTCCCTTGGGAGGCTTGTGCAGACTGGGGACTTGTCCCATCCAACATGCACCTGCCAGGCTGGTCCTTTTAGGCCGGTGGCGCCATCTGACCTTTAAGCTCCTCTAAGGAGCCCTTGGTGCATCCAGTAGCCTCAATCCCCTGTAAGAGGCTGTGCCAGGTGCCCTGATACCATTTCTCAGTCTGCACTGTCTTCACCTAAGGATCAGGAGCTGCATGCGGAGGGGTCTCAGAAATACATCCACTTACCCACTTATGGCCCTTCCTTCTGGAAGCCTCTGACCCAGGGATGAAGCCTCCCAACAAAGCTTTTCAGGACAGAGAAGTCTTCCCCCTGGGTGTGTGCCCAGAAATCTATCTTGTAAGTTATGATTTGTGGCCACTGCCACCAAAGCCCCAGCTTCTGGAAGGAAGACAGGGTGCAGGCACTTCTGTGCCCCATCAGTACACTGCTCAAGAGTCCCTGAAGCCGAGTGACAGTCACTGGATCAGGTGGCTGAGCAACAATCCCAATGACTACTATACAAGCAGAAGGGTCTTCATGGGGACACCTGCAGGAAGGAAGGCTGTGCCTCTCAAGGGCACTTGGGCACCACTCAGGGCCAAGCCCTTCCCCTGTCACTACCCAGAACCCTAAGATCCTCCACACTCCCTGAGGACCTCCACAGCCCATGCCCACAATGACCCTGGGGAGACTGCCCCATCCTGGTTGTGACCTGCTCCCAGCAGCCTCCTCAATGGCAGCCAGTCTGGTCCAGGGTAACTCCCCACCTCTTCCTCCCTCCTCCCTCAGTCTTCCCAGGACTGTCTGGCCTCCTTCTGCCCTTTCTTTTCCTTATTCTTGTTCTTGCTGGATTCTCCAGATCGAGAGAGAACCCCCCCCCCCGCAAGTCTTCCTTGCTCCCCCTCTTGGCTCAAAGCCCATTTGGGAGCCCAGAAACCTGCAACTGCACCCAGCAAGGGGGGGGGGGGGGCAGGTCACAGGGCCATGAGGGCTTGCATGTGGCTCTCCTGGGCTGCCTGGCTTGCTCGAGTGTGGCACTTCAGTGCAACATTAGCCATTAAAGCTCCACATTCCCCTCCCCGCCGGGATCCCTGCAGAGCAGAGGGAGGGGTGACCACGAAGGGTTGTCCTGGGAGCAGGCCACACCAGTCAGCAAGGATGAGACACCTTTCATGTGGCAAATCAGGGTATTTTAGATTCGGTAGCTGGGCCTCCAGAAGGTCCACATTTTGCTAAGCAAATAAGCTGGTAGGGTCAGTTTGCAGTAATCTAGAAAACTGAGAATTCAACATAAATGGGGGCACGTTACCTCCACAGGTGCAGTGGGTGATCCAAGTTAGCTCTGTGGTGAAATGGCTCATTTATTTAACTACTGCACACACCATGGACTCTCAGTGCATCAAAAGAAGGGGTTTTATTCCCAGCAATTAGCTTTGGAGACAGAAGAATAAACACACACAGGCTTTTTTTGTTTTAACTTCCCTTAATGTTATAGACCAAAGCCACTTCACCCAAGGGAACAGGCCTTCAAAATAGTATCATCGGTGGGAATTTAAAGACGCCTGGTCCTTAGAAAACCTCCTGCATCGACCCCTCACTAGGCTTAAAATGTCACCGCTAGGAGGGCCTTCCTATGTGATGACACACTGCCCAATATCAACCCACCACTACTCGGGCAGGGGTGATAGAGTGGAGCCCCGCCAGCCTGCAGGCCCCTAGGAGCAGGGAGCCATCTGTGGGGCCCCTGTCTAACCCAAGGCCCAGAACAGGGCCTGGTGCATAGCAGGCTTTGGGAAGCAAGCATTGAGAGCAGGTTAATGAATGCAGTCCATTCTTTTTTAACATTTATTTGTATTAGTCCATGTTTGCCATACATAGTGATTATGTGGGGAGTTGGCACCTGCCCACACACCTCTGAATTATTTTCACACCTCCTTGCCCTCCCCTCCCTCCATCTCTTCGTCCCCTCCTCATTTGTAAAAGGTCTATCTCCCTGTTTCCTATGATCTATCTTGTTTTCTATGTTGCTCTTTATTTATACTTTGGGTTTCTCATATCAAAGAAACCATGTGATATTTAAGCTTATGTGTCTGATTTATTTCACTTAGCATTATGGTCTTAAGGTGCATCCATTTTCCTGCAGATGTTTATCCTTCTTTATGGCAGAGTAGTACTCCATGATGCATAAGTACTACATTTCTGTATCCATTTACTCTTCTACCTGAGGCTGACTGAGCACAAGCCTGGAACACAGAAGCACTGTGGTCCCCACCATCTGACAGCCGGGCTCCCATGGGAGTCCTGTGGGGCATGACACAGACCCATGTGTTAATGCCCAGCCCGTCAGGATAAGGAAACAAGGGAGCCTGGGCCCTTAGCTCCGAGGGGAGCCTTAGGGGCATCTCTGGCGGCTGCCTGCCCAGGACAGATATCTGAAAAGTAACGTGGCTGAGCTTGAATGCTCAGGATTGGGAACTCACTACCTAGCCCTGTCTCTGCCGCCTATCAGCCTGCTGCCACCCATGGTATTTGAAAGTTGATGAGAAGTCAGCAAATTCAGCCTATAAGACCAACACTTGGGAGGCTGAGGATAGGAGGATCACAAGTTCAAAGCCAGCCTGGGCAACTGAGTAAGACCCTGCCACAAAGAAAAAGAAGCCAGGAAATTCCTAGCTTCTGCCTGGGGCATCTCAGGGCTCAGGGGAGGGAAACTCAGGCAATCAGAAGAGTATTAGGACAGTTACAAAATGCCTGTTTTGCCCCAGGACTGAGGACAGCATTATGTTTTAAGGTTTGGACTTTTTTTAGTGGATGTTTTATAACTGAATTTGGCATGTGTGAAAATATCAACTCCATAAGCTGCTAGCCCAGGCCCATGAATATTCCAGATCAGAAGGATGCTCGCCTCCCCTGGGAACTGCTGTGTGTAAGGGTTATGAAGTTAGGCATTTAGAATCTGTCTGTAAGATTTAAATATTTAGATTGAGTCTCGGGGACACAAAAGGCAATGCCTGTTACTCACTGGCTTAATTTGATTTTTTTTTTTTTTTTTACCTTTTGGTAGCGCTAGTTGCTTTTCAAAGCCTCATTCCTTGAATGTTCCCTGTAGGGGGGTTGTAATTAAACCCCTCTGGCCTTCCCTGCTGGGGTCACACAGGGACCAGGGGTGCAGGGAGCACAGGACAGACACCTTGTCTCATGATAAGGGACTCTTGTCATAAGATGGAAAGAGAAGCAACTTTCCCTGGGTTACCCAGGCTAAACAGGCTTCATCTCTGAGACTCTGTAACTAGTCATGTAGGACAGGAAGGAAGAGCTGGGCTCCTCCCCTCCTTAGCTGTAGGCAAAGATTTCAAGGCGATGTGTTACTGCTTGAATGGCTGACCAAGAGGGGCATCCGGAGGGTGGTTTTTCAGTAAACAGACTTTTCAGCTGTGCATGGTGGCACATACCTGTAACCCCAGCATTCCGGGAAACCAAGAAAAGAAGATCCCAAGATTGAGCCCAGCCTGAGCAATTTAGGGACTTAGCAAGACTCTGCCTCAAAATAAAGAAGGGAATGGAGATGTAGCTTGGTGTGAAGACGCTGGGTTCTATTCCCAGCACCAAAAAAAAGGAACATATATTTCCTTGAAAATGGCGTCACTAAGGGTCCTGGCCTCCCACCAGTACCTATGTTGGGTGCCACTCCTTCCCCCAGGGGCAGGCCCTGCATCTCTCTGGGTCTCTCAGCTGGTACCCGAGCCAAGAAGCCTGTGCTGAGACCAGGTCCCATCACACTCGACAAGACCCAGACTCGCCCGAGGAACACACCAGAGAGCAGGCGGGAGCCCCAGGCCTGGCGCTAGATCCCCCACCCCGCCAACTGAGCACTCAGGGACACCGGGCTGCCATTCAGCAGCAGAGTGTCGTGGGTCACTGACATGATCACTCTGTTCCTTCACTTTTCTATAACATGTGGTTCATCAGCTTGTCGAAGAGTTTAGATACTTTCAATGTTTATGGCAGCACCGACACTACACGTGTTAGCTATTGTCATGCCTTGCTCTGTGCCTCAGTTTCCTTGTCTGGAAAAGGCAGGAATTGAACTAGAGCTCCTTCTCTGCTGTCAGTGATGCCGGGCAATGATGGCAGACCCTAAGATCAGTACTTTATATACAGTCAACTCGCTCCTCACCGTGCACCACGCAGTAGGAGCTGTCACCAAGCCCACTTTACGGCAGAGCAAGGGCTCTCCAAAGGAATGGAACTGCAAGGAGAGAGGGGGTTTATTTTAAGGCATTGGCTCAGGGACTGTGGTGGCTGGCAAGTCTGCAATCTGTAGGGCAGGCTGGCAGTTTGGAAGAGTCAGGCAGGAAGTGAAGCTGCAGCCTCCATGAGAACTTCTTCCCAAGAAACCTCAGATCTTGCTCTGAAGGCTCTCAGCTAAGTGGATCGGTGTCCCCCACATCATTGAGGGTGATCTTCTCTCCTTAAGGTCACCAGAATGTTGGGGTTCAGTCTGTCTGCAGAATGCCCTCCTGGCCACATGGAGATGAGAGTTGGGATAAATAACTGGATGCCATAGCCTTACCAGGCTGACACAAAAGACTTGCCACAACAGAGGCATGGAGAGGACAAATAATCTAGAGTCACATGAACACACTAGAAAGGGGCGTCACCTGGGCTGGTCCCAAGTCCCCTGCAGTGTACCTGAGTCTGATCCTCTCAGCACTGTCTGGAACGTTCAGAGTCCCGTGCTCCGAGTCTGGCCCTCAGTGCTGTCTGCTCTGTCCAACCTGTGGGTGACAAAGCAGGGTTCCAGTGCCCACATGTGGGATGGGATGTGGGGGTGTCCTGCACTCTCCGGCCTGGCACTGAGGAGATGCCGGCGCCTACACCTGCCTGCCATGAAGGTGCACAACCCTCACCAGTCACCTTGGCTGGTGCCATCTTTCACCTGCCATCCTGGTTTTCTGCTCCAAGGATGTCTTCCTGGCAGGTCCTGGATTTGTTGCAGCTTTTATCCTTCATCCCATGACTTTTTCATGAATTCTCTTCCTTCCTGGCTGATACAGTGCAACATGAATCACAGCCAGGCAGCTTCTCCTCTGATGCCCCCTGGACACTGGAAGCTTAGCACGCACAGACAAGAACATTCTGGAAACACAGACACTGTACACCAGGGCTGCTCTCTGCCTCTGCACACACTCCTTGGGGCTTTCTTCACTTTCACTGGTGACTGATCACGTTTCTCTAACAGTAGAAAGTTCTCCAGCCACCCCTGGCTTTCCTGCTGGGTTCCATCCCATGGAGCAACTCCCTGCTTGCACCTCCCAGTAGTTGTTTCCCTTGTGTTGGTCGTTAAAGAACACCACACCTGCACCCAAGACGCCTGCAGCCTCACTGCCTGCACCCTGAGCTTGCCCTGCCCATCAGGTGCTGCCCCTGCAGAGCAGCTGCTCCCCACTGCTGGTGTCCATCACCAGCCCACTGCTCTTGACCAAGTGCCACTTCCGTCCCAGAGCAGATGAGTTCTGGGAAAGGATGGGCAGAGAGGAGCATCCTGTATGCTGAGACTGTGGAGCTGACCCCCACCTTTCCACTGGGAAGGAAACTAGACCCCTAAGTCCCCGTATTCTCTGATTGAAGCAGTACAGGCGGGGTTTGCTTGGAGATTCAGCATCAAATTAAAGGCCTGCCTCCCACTAGGCACAGTGCAATTCTGGCCAGTAGAGGCGCTGTCACTGCTCCAGGTCCTCTGCTTCCTTCTATTCATGCTCCAGGCCAAGTGATTTGGTCTGAAATGAGGTGGGGGCTTTTCCAAAGCCACTAGGGACCCTAAAATATAGCCAAGATGAAGGAGCACAGTGAAAGTGCCTGGAGGAACCCATGCCAGCTGAACTTGGGTGGCACTGCTACCCACAGGATTGACTTTGTCGCTCTATGCAGAATGACCGGAGCTGCTATCTGCTGTCTTGCCAGGTCCCTTCCGAAGTTATCAGGGGGTGGTGGCCTTCATTGATCATGCTGTGAGAGCCACAATCCAACCCTGGCAAGACCCACGGGGTGGCTGCTCCAGCAGCATTCTGGTAGAGGAAAGCGTCCCGAAGTCACACCCAGCCCAGCAATCTGACCTGCGGGAATGTGTGAGGGGCCCCTTCTCTATATCCTCCACAGGCAACCAAAGCCCAAGGATGTCCTGCACAGGCCTCCCTGGGCTCAGAAGACAGGAGTTTCTGCCTGTGGGTGTGGTTTGGGCAGTGTCCTTTCCTCTCTCTTATTCTTTCCCCTGTGTGAATCTCATCTGACAATTCCCAGGCACAGATTAGAGATTTGTAGACCTGAAAGATGCTAATGACACAGATCACCACCCTCATAACAGTAAACATTTATGGCGTGCCATAATTATTTGTCATAATTTTTATGTGTTAAATAAATCTGACCTCAGTTGAAAGAAGCAGGCTCCGCTAACCAAGAAGATTGAGTAAATTGAAGTAGAAGTGTGCAGTGGAAACCTCTCCAGTTCCATAGCACACATACCTTTTGGTGGTTAAGGTATCTTTGTTCTTGTTGTTTTGGTTTTGAGACAGGGTTTTGCTGTATAGTCCAGGCTGGCCCCAACCCCCCAGTTATCCTCCCTCTTCAGCCTCCCCAGTGCTGGGATTACAGATGTGCACCACCATGCCTGGCTTCTTTCAGAGGTTTTGATTCTGGGCTTCATTCACTGAGTCTCTTGTACAATTTTGGGCGGGGGGGGGGGTGGTCTGGGGCCAGTGGTAGCCTTGTGGTATCCATGCTGGCTATGTTAAGGCCTGCTATGGAAACATCTTGTTTCCAACTTGTTTTTTGATCAAGGGGTAACCCTTGGGGATCAATATTCAAAGTTAAGTAATATTCATAACGATAATGGTAGAGGGGACTCAGGGTCTAGCTTGTTAATAGTGATATAGGAGCGATATCAGGCTTCCAATTGATATAGGAGAAATAGAACTCCCAGCTTGCTAGATGTCAGATATGCCGAGTTCGTGTTCCCCAAAATCGAACAGTGAATTCTTAGCAACAACAGAGGTTAAGAGTACGAAATATTCATTCAGAGACAATAGCTCCTGAGAGGTAGGAGGGGACAGGAATGGGTGGCTGAGGAACCTACTTCACAGGGGAAGTTTTATAGAGCACAACCACATGGGTACAATGTGGGTTAAAGCCATGATCAACCAATAAGGTTACAAGGATAGTCACCTAGGTAATAGTGATCCAATGGGGAAGCAAGTCACTTAGCAAGAGTACATGGAAAGAACAACTTCTCAGGAAGGTGATGAGTCTGAAGATCTTGGTCACCTACCGAGGTGACTGATGTATGTCTAGACTTCATTAGACCAGGTGCTACCACTTTTCTCATCCCAAGGGGAAGTGTGTAGGTCTGGTCATTTTGTCTTTGTCTTGAGGCCTGGCTTCTAACAGATGCACCTCCAGCCACAGTTGTAATGTGTTTTCATCTCTTACACCGACTCCCTCAGGGCCCAGCCCTGCCTGCCTGCCTATTTCTACCTAACTTAGCCATCTCTAACAGTAGAGTGGCAAGACCATGAGTTGGGTCCCAGCATTATCAAAAAATAAAGTACCAATGATAATAATGAGAAGAATCATAGATTGGACACATGCTCTGTACTTGAAGTTGAACCAGGCAATTCTAATAACCACTTCTATATTTTCCCTCATTTTAGAAATGGGAATGAAATCTGCACTCAGAGATTAGCTGGCTAGGCTGAGGTAGGGCAAATGGGGAATCGGAACCTGGATCTATTGGCACCAGCGTTGCTTGGTGCTCTTACCAAGCCTCTAAGGACATCACCCAAATGAATGACTTTCTACATGGATCTTCAGCAAAACGGAACTAAGAAATGACAGTAAGTCAAGATGTGCCATCTTTGGCATTAAAAATACAAAGAAATCAATTTACTTTAATAACAAATAGATCAAACAACATAAAAATACACAGGAAAAGAAAGAAAAAACCCCTTAAGGCAAGAAGCACATTGTTTCTTTTTAACCTAACGTTTGACAAATTTACATTCTCCTTGTGTGCCCTTGGGTGCTTAAAGTAAAATCCTATAGATATTTCCACGTAACATGAGTTTTTTTCCTGTGTAAAATCCACCATATCAGGAATTCCTCTCTTCACCCTATCCCTGGGGTTTCAGACAGACAGTGTCTTCCCTCAGGAATAATTCATATGTCAAACTTGTCATTTATCACTCTAGTTGAGTTTTTCTCCCCGTCCCTCAAAACTTACTTACCACTAGGGAGCTGGGGAATTAGCTCAGTGGTTCCGCCATCTGCCTCGCAAGCGCAAGTGTAAGGACCCAAGTTCGATCCCCGGTACCAAAAAAAAAAAAAAAAAAAAGAACAAAACTTACTTAGCACTCACTAAATAAGGCTTGCATGTATCTTTCCCAGGTTCATGAGATTTCTGGTGATCTAGGGCATAATTAGCAAAACAAATTTTGCCCATTGCTGGCATCTCTACAGTATCTGGTTATTTTCCTTACTGGCTTTCCTTCTCTGACTTTTGTTTTATTTGGGGTTTTTTTGAGACAGAGTCTTGCCATGTAGTTCAGGCTGGCCTTGAACTCACTATGTAACTAACCCAGGCTTGGCCTCGAACTGGTGGTAACCCTCCTGCCTCAGCCTCCTGAGTGCTAGGATTGTAGGCATGTTCAACTGCACCTAGCCTCTTCTGTGAATTTATTGTCTACAAATAAAAAAAGGATGACAACATCTCCCATGCCTACAAATCTTGTCTCCTATGTGAAATTGTAAAGCCTCCGGAGATATAGCCAGGTTTTTCTGATTTATTCATTCATTCCCATGGGAACCAGCTGCAGAGGGACATGGTCCATGGTCTAAGCCATCCCACTGGTGTTGCATCTTAGACACCTCCTATGGTCCAAGTCCAGGCACTGGACCATCATTGCTCCTCTGGGAGAACCAGTGACCAAGAAAGCAGCAAATTTCCCCTCAGCATTTAAGTCATTTCCAGAAGTTGAAAGTGGGTCCCTACAGAGATTTCCTGTCATAGTGTCCCCTCCCGTCCTCATAGTCAAGTTGACCCCTATACAAGCCCAATGCCCAGCACCATGAGCAGAGGGTCCCCTGTTGTAATGTCCCAATGCATCAAAGGCGCCCGACGTTAGTGGAATGAATGAACGTTACAGATGAGAGGAACTTGGAGATCATCCAGCCTAATGCCCTCGGTCCATGGATGAGGAAACGGTGGCAGACAGCACTCAGAGATGGCCCAGTGTCACACTGTGAGTTTGTGTGGCTTCCCGGCTCCCAGGCCCATGCCTGCTTCTCCAAGCGTCTTAAGAACTCAGTCCCCTCTCTGGTAAGGAGGAGGGCAGGGGACTGTGGGGTCCTCTGCTGCCCACCTCCGGGGCAGGAAGAGCCTGCATTTGTAGGACAGGCACACAGGGTGCGACCAGGATCACCCATCCCATTGCTGCCAGGAAGAGTCTCTCTCACCTGCACTCCCTCCCTTTTTCCCTCCTCTAGCTGCTGCCAGCAGCTGGCCTGGCTTTGTCAAGGGTTCCCCAGTGCCATCTGGCTTCCTGTCCTCCTCGAAGCTCAAGACATGGCTGTGCGGCGACCCTGGCCTTTATTCTGCATGGTATGTCACAGGTAGCTGCCCGTGTCCAGCTGCATGGCAGGGCCACACACTCCTGTCATTTCAACACCAGACTGTGTTTCTTTCAAAAGGCACTAAAGTGGGGACAGCAGCCCCTGGACACTCTGG